CAGAAGGTGTTATTTGACGAAACTGATTTTTAGCGCCAGCTTTATCATGGAAGCATCCGAAGGACAGATAAAATCTGTAATTATGTCTGTTTTAGTTCAAGAAGTGTAATTTACCTATGTAAAAATTTCTAAGGAGGTCTTCCTAGGTCTGTACTGGCTTACAAGAGTTGGCTGGTTGTGCTGGTTACTCAAGAATTAATGGGGATGTCCTTGTGAAACACACAGGAGGCGCTACTGCGGGTGCTTGAGCGTCTCAGGGTGAATTGTCTGCCTACAGGTATTCTAATCGCACTCCTTCATCAGCTGTGACTGAACTGAGTTCAACTTGTCACTTTTTGACACACTGGGTCAACAATGAGCTAAAGCATTTGAAAAAGATTTCCTGTCTTTGCATTCTTGTCACTTAAAACAGTGTTCAACACATAACGTACTGAGTACATTTTCTGAAAGAAAAATGAAAAAGCTTTCCAGTGCTCTTCAAGGGTAAACATATACAGTAACCAGATAAGAATTTAAGTGTCGGCCGGCGCCGCGGCTCACTAGGCTAATCCTCCGCCTACCGGCGCTGGCACACAGGGTTCTAGTCCCGGTCGGGGCGCCGGATTCTGTTCCGGTTGCCCCTCTTCCAGGCCAGCTCTCTGCTGTGGCCAGGGAGTGCAGTGGAGGATGGCCCAGGTGCTTGGGCCCTGCACCCCACGGGAGACCAGGAGAAGCACCTGGCTCCTGGCTCCTGCCATCGGATCAGCGCGGTGTGCCGGCCGCAGCGCGCCAGCCGCGGCGGCCATTGGAGGGTGAACCAACGGCAAAGGAAGACCTTTCTCTCTATCTCTCCCTCTCACTGTCCACTCTGCCTGTCAAAAAATAAAAATTAAAAAAAAAAAAAGAATTTAAATGTCCTGTGTCCTTAAAAGAAAAAAAAAACACTAAAGCTTTTGGTAAATCCATTCAAGTAGTTTTTTAAAATAAGGCTTCGTCAGAATCAACTCTCACAGTCTGTGTACTGAAGATAGATACAAGGGTTGCTCCTGAGAAGTCATTTTTGGGGAAGGAAAGCTTTTAGGTTTCTTGGAATTAGTGCCTTAGACATAAGTTATCCTAGACCTCGATTTAAAGTGATCAGGTGAACATGCATTTTTTTCTTTTTCGGTCAAGAAATTAAATGTTGGAGTTCATATTTTTAATGATGGGGCACTAGGACCCTCCACGGTTGGGGGAGGGGAGAAGAAAACAACAAAGTAGCAGAGACACAGTCACTCCATTCATCTCTGAAAGATGATAACATTTAAACTGTAGCTTTTCCTTAGGGGAAAAAAAAACAAGCGTCGTTTTTGGCTGTCTTTATCGTAGTAAGCTAAATAAAGTGTTTGGTTGCTAATTAAGGACACAGAAAGTACACCTTTGATCACAGGGGAGGGAGGACTTTTTATAAACAATCTCACGTCAACGATTCCAACAGAGTATCCCTAAAGGAATTTGGAAACTTGTTTCACCGTATGGGGAGGGGTTATTCTGTAATTCTCGATTGCTCCTGTGGCTTTCTGGTAGAATTAAAAAATTCAAGAAAGAGAGCTATGATTTCGGGCTCTTTCCCAAAGTCTGCTTACGGATTTCTCACCAATACCGACTTCTCTTTTCTTAGACGATGCAGACGGCAGAAGCCCCGAGGGGAGCAGAGCTTCCTACCAACGCCCTTGCAATGCGGCCGGCGTGAAGCGGCAGGGGCGCGCCGGCGGCCCCCGCGCCCGGCCGCCAGCCATGTTGGAGGCGCGGGCGGCTGCAAAGCCGACGGGCCAGCCTCCTCCCGCCGTGAGTCAGAGCGGCCTCTGCCGTCCACGGGGCGTCCTCGGCAGGCGAAGAATGGCCCACGACAGCTCACCGCAGAAACCCACGTCTGACGACTGCCAACTCCTGTCTAAGTCACGCTCGGCCCTCCTCTGTACTGCCTTACCCAACGAGGAAGCTTGGTGCAAGCCATCACGGACGTGTTCCCCGCTAACAGCTTCGTCAACTCGCTAAGCCCTGGGTGTCTCGCCCCCCAGCACCGTGCATGCCCACGCCTGAGGGCGCCTGGCGTTCACCGGCATAGAATCGACAAAGGCGGTCCCCAGGGGCTGTGTGAAGGAGGGTGGCGAGGCAAGGAGCAGGATGAAGGAATCCCGGTTCTTCCCATCGCGGGAGGAGCCCCGGCAGCACCTTCAGCATCCTCGCCGGGCCTGGGACCACGATGTGTGGGTGACTGAAGCCCTCGCGAGCCGCGCCGCTTCCGCTTGTACAGTCATCTCCTTCCCCTCGCCCTAAAACAATACCTTGGCCCCCTGCCAGACTTTGCGCGGCGAACGGCTCTGGCTGACCAAGGCCAGGCACGGGTGCTGCGAAAAGCTGAGGCCGCCTCTGAGCGCTAGCACAGGCCCAGAGGAAGCGAAGAGGCCCAAGCTTTCAAACACTCCCTTCCTCCGCCCCCTCCCTTTTGTCCCAGACACCAAAACAAACGAGCTGATACACGTGTCCCTATGACTCTTGTTTACTATCAAGAGTGTGCTGTGCACGCACCTCTGGGATATGTAGTCCAACCGGTTCTTCCGCCAGCCTAGCCTTCCCAGGCGCCGAGAAAGGCTGAGACTACGAACCCACAATCCACTTCGCGGGCAAAGTTTGGTTAGGGTCCCCCGAGTCTCGGCAGCAGTCCAATCCGGAGCGCTTAGCCCAGTGACTGACACGCTGTCTCGTCCAGTAAACACAACACAAAAGTCAATACATGCCCACCCCCCGAGAAGGGCCGTGGTATCGCCCAATGGATAAGTGGAAAGACCGAATGGCAGCTCTGCGGGCCAATAAGAGGACGAGAGAGCTGGGAGGAGGCTCAACCCCCCGGGGGCTTGAGGGGAGGGGGAAGACGAAGCTTGAAAGACTTGGTAATGGCGACGGGTTTGGTAAGTAGGAAAGTTTCGGTTGAGGAGTAAGAGTGGCGAAGGAAGCCGTAACCCGCACCGGGGAGGCCAGCGTCAGTCGCAGAGAGGATCCGCGAGCTGCCGGTGGTGTTGTCGCCGTCAAGGCGGCCCGCACCGAGGCTGCCGGCACTCCGCGGCGCGTTTGTTGTCTTTCGGCTCGGGAAGGGGTGGGGGTGGGGAAGGGAGGGGCAGGAGCCCGAGGGGATGGGGCGGCCGGGCGAGCCTGGGTCCGCGTTCCCTCCCCTCCAGGGACTGCCTTCAGAGTGGGCGCAGTTAGCCGTCCAACCGCTGCCCGCGGCGAGCCCACCGGACCGGCACCTCCTGCGAGCGCGCCTGGCGCTTCGCGGCGGCGGCGGCGCGAGAGGGGGTCCCCGGACGGGGAAAGGGAGGAGGCTGGGCGAGGACTGCGTTCGGGGCCCGCTGGCGCGGTGGGTGGCCGGGCCGGGTGCGGAGTTGGGGCGGGCTGGGGCGGGGGAAGGGGCCGGGGCTGCCCAGGAAAGTTTGACTTCCAACTCTAGGCTTGTGGGCGGAGGGTCGGCGGTAGGCCGGAGTGGGGGGCTGGCCGGGGGTGGGGGGGGATCTCTCCCTCCTCCCCCCCCACAGAGGCGCCGCCTCCTCCACCCGGGCCTTGAGGGGCGCGGGCCGAGCTGGGGAGCTCGCGGAGCAGCTGGGCCCCGGGGCTCATTGTTACGCAGTTCGAATGAATGGGCTCCGCGGCGCCTGCGCAGTGAGACGGAGCCCGGGGGAAAAACAAGCCCGGAGTCCGGGCTGCGGTCACATGATGGGGGGAGGGGAGGGCGCGCGATGAATGGCGAAAGAGGGTGGGGGATGGACTCGGCGTGACCCAGAGCGGAGGCTTGGCCGGCGCTCCCAGGCCCCGCCTGGCAGGCTCCGCGGAAGACGGGACCGGAGCGGAGGCGGGCGCCGCCGGGCTGTGAGCGTTCGCCGTGCTGGGGGGTGGTCGCCCCCGGAGGCGGGCTCCGTGTTCCGCCGGAGTCGTGCGGGAAGCCGCGCCGACCCAAGGGCCGCGCACCAAAGTTTTTTTTTTGGCGCAGGATGTGCTGGTGCCTGGACTGGAGGAGAGTTTAAAAAAAAGCAAAAAAACCCACGCGAGTTGGAGTTGCACCTTCTGGGAAGCGATGGAATGCTCCCAGCGGTTCCGAACAACTGCTGTAGATGTCTTTTCCTCCGAACAGCGGAGCTGTAGCTTTGCAGTTAAAGCTGCCTTTTGAGAATCGGAACCTTTTAACATTTGTGAACATTTTTCTGTTTTTACTGTTGACCGTGTTTACGTGGAATGTATACCTTGGTGCTTTTGATTCTGGTTTTGTTCCTCGTCTTTATTTTGTAAACCAGAGTGTTAGGGTCATCTGTTCCGTTTCCTTTGTTGAAGTCAGTTGTTGCCAGTAGGCGATATTTGACCCGGTTCCGAAGACGTTTGGATTACGTTCCAGCGTTACATCCTTGAAGTTTTTCAGCTACTTGGTGCTTTTGAGGACGCCATTTAACCACTTCAAAGTGCTGTTTGTTGTGACGACTGATTATAGAACGAACTTTTGATTTCACTTTCAAGTTGCCATCTTGGTTGCTTTTTTCCTGCGTGGAAATCCCTTTTCCTTTGTTCAGTGTTCCTTGTCCCAGAATTTCCTGCGCAGTCTCCCCAAACTTACACACTTCCCAGTGTGTACCTTCCCGACCTAGACAGGATCCTGTTCCTTTAAACTTCGCCTTCATTACTGTATATTAACTTCGTTGCACTGCGTCCTTGTTATCCAAGTGCCCAGTGAAGAAGACAGATGGAATGGATTTATGAATGAATAAACTGCCAAGCCCTGTACATTCTTTAGGGTTAATGGAAAGCTGGTCTCTTGTGTCGCTGTTTAACATGAAAGTATCATTACTTTTTTGAGCATAAATTACCTGAAGTTACTGCCATATTTAAAGAGACAGTGCCTGCTTTTCATTTTTTTTAAAGTATGAAAGTAAATATTTATTTGGAATGGGGAAACAATGTAGAAAAATTGTAAATCACAAAATTCAAGAAAAACTATAGCTATGATCAGTAATGTGAAAATGTTTAGGATTAAAATCAAATTTAGGAAAATAAATTTCATAATTGAATGTTTAGATGTTTTCAAGTTCTGTCATATGACTTATCTTGAATGACAGTACAGTTGTTAAACAGTTTTGGCAATGGCTGCTTGTAGTAAGAACTTGTATAGATGCGATTGAACAGTGCCCGCCAAAGGCAAGGATGTGACCTGTAGCGGTATTTTTACATCTGCTGCAATTCTGGTGGCAGAGGGTACTAGCCTCAGGGACAGACAGGACAGTTCAGGCATAAAGGTGAAATGTAGGGACATAATGATGCTGAGTGGTGTTCTGCAGTAGTGTATTTTACCAAAACATTATCTGTTATGGGAGTTGTTTTTTTCTGAGTGTAGTGCCAAAGTAGAGTTGTGGAAACACTTTGGTGGGGAAAAAAAGTGAAGTTTCATGGAAAAGATTCTGAAAGAACTGCATTAATGCCTTTCAACTGCTTTTGGGGTAGAAAGTTTCATTGAATACAGTTAGGTAGGGAGGCTTGCTTTAACTTGGAGTTATATAATCCATTTTCAGTGTCTCAGTTCCTCCTGCACTCCCTCTCCTACGGTAATTGGAGGGTGTGCTGAGGACTTGGTCCGGGTGTCCTTCCTTCACAATTAGAGGAGTCTAGGGAAGAGGCTGCCGGGAAGTCTGGATTGACAGTGGGATGGTGAGGAATCAGACAAGAGAGCGGATCAGTAGGTCGGAGTGAGAGTAGTTAGGCCTGTGGTTAAGAGATTTTGTGGATTTTTGCTCCTAAAAGTTTGTGTAACAAAAGCAATAGGGCCTTCTAATCCTCACCCAATAAAATTGCCAAGATTGGACATGACATTTCAAAGAACAACTTCTGTAGAATTTGACTCATCTCTTTGAAAATCACTGATCTAGTACAGAGATGACACGTGCGGAGTTAACTAGTGTAAAAGGGAAGCTTTGTTGACAAGCATGAATGAACAATAGGATTAGTTCTGCCAAGAAATATTTGAAAGAGGAGCTTGTTTATCAAAATGAATCTCTAGCTGGTGCAGTGGATGGGGGGTATTTCTGAATCAGGACACTTCTGGTATTCCTTCCTGTGTGAGCAGCCTGCCTTTTTCCCCCAAAGTAGTTTGGCCGAAGAATGAGGCACTCTGGAGAGTCTATTTGTGCATGTTTTCAAGTGCTTTGCTTATTTCTCACGCTCACCGTGTGAGGTCAGTAGAGTATGGTGGTGCTAGCTCCAGCACCCAGCGCCAGTGAGGCTCCTCTGGTATTGGTAGTCCAGGCACTCTGACTGCTCAGTAGTTTAATGGCAGCAAAGCCTCAGTTACCTGAAGACCAGACTTAGGAGCCTTGATCAGCTAGGGTACAGACACACAGAGCTCTACTTCAACAAGTGTTTATTTGGTCCCTCTTGTTATTTGTAAGTGGCTCTGCTTTGAAGTCGAAATGCTTTTCCAGCTTCACTGGAGTGTTGTGGTAGCACAGTGGTAGATAACTAAGTGCTGAAGGAAATAAGGAAGTTGCAAGGAGGTGGTAGTGTACTGGGTGAATGGTGATAGGGAAGAACGAGGAAGCTGGAGAGCCCTGCAGGGGAGGGGGAAGAACACACTACACCTGTGCTGCTGTGGCCCCGAGAGCAGTGCTGCTCGTCTACACAGGATAGCACTGGAGAGAGATGTGTAGTGCCACCTCTGAATTTCATAAGAAAGGTAAAGAATGGGACATTTTCAAAGTTTAATATTGCAGTTGGTTGGGGGGTATGTGTGGGGGGGTCAGTACTGTGGCACTTTGGTTACGCTGCCGCTGCTTGTGACTCCTGCATCCCATATTGGGAGCACCAGTTCTAGTCCCAGCTGCTCTGCATCTGAGACGGCTTCCTGCTGGGTACCTGGGAAAGCAGTGGAAGGTGGTCCTGGAGCTTGAGCCTTTGGAGACCAAGATGGAGTTTCTGGTTCCTGGTTTCAGCCTGACCCAGAGAGGTCAATTGTAGCCATTTTGGGAGTGAACCAGTAGGTGGAAGATCTTTTCTCTCTGTATCCAGTGCCTCTCTCTCTGTCATTCTGCCTTTCAAATAAATAAATCTTAACCAAAAAAATAAGAGATTGCAGTTGGTATTGACTAATTCAGCTGACATCTGTATGTGACACATAGTACTGATGTTCCTTAGGATTTCTTTTAGTCTTTTTAAAATATTTTATTTATTTGAGAGGTAGAGTTAGAGAGAGAGAGAGAGATTCCATCTGCTGGTTCACTCGCCAAACGGCCAGAGCTGGGTTGATCTGAGGCCAGTAGCCAGGAGCTTCTTCGGGTCGTGGGTACAGGGGCCCAAGGACTTGGGCCATCCTACACTGCTTTTTTAGGGCATTAGCAGAGAGCTGGATCAGAAGAGGAGCAGCCAGGACATGAACTTGCACCCATGTGGGATGTAGGTGCTGCAGGTGAAGGCTTAGCCTACTACACCACAGCGCCTGTCCCATGTCCATTAGAATTTAAGTCATCAAAATAGGTTGTGTCCTGTATACTTCAAATCTTACAAGATTTTTATGGAAAGAGTTAAAATCTCCTAAGTTAATATTAAAGAACTCATGTAGAATGACTATTTCTCTTAGGAATCACTAAATAAGGATGTATACTACCATTTACCTTTTCTTTCCTAAGAATGTTTGCACAGTAAGCTGGAGGCAGGTGACTTCCCTGACAGAACTGGGAGTATGAGTCCTCTTATTTAACCTGCTCTTCCTTTCGGTATGGGAAAGGTTGTTCTGCATGTTTATATTGTGTTTCAGTATGATTTTGTATCGAGTGGAGAGTATGCCTAAGGTATGGTTCTGATCTTGTTGGACCTCTGTGCTCCCACGTTGTCTGGTGACTTCCAGCAACACAAACCTTAGTAGTACTGAGTTTTTACAGCAATGAGATAGATGTCTTATTTCCATTTTACAAAAAGCGTGAGTATTTTAAGTAAATCTTCAAAGTATATAGCTAATAAGTGGCAGATACAGTATATAACTGCAGGCAGCCTGATTGCAGAGTGCTGTTGTCTGCACAAACATCTTCCTAACCTGAGATTGAAGTTTGTGATGCTGGTCTACCTTGCCATGTGTCTCTAACAGCTGTAGTGTCTTGACCACATGACACAAAGGCCAGTCTCCTTTCTGGTGATACTAGGGTTTACATTTTTCTGATTTCATCTTGTGCTTTACCAAATATGAGTATCTTTCATTGGGAGACCTCCTTTTTAAAAATAAAAGAAAACAAAAAAAATTTATAGCCAAGCCTTCATCTTTTACAGAACTGTGACATTTGCTTTTTTTTTTTTTAATATTTATTTTATTTATTTGAAAGAGTTACAGAAAGAGAGAGAGAGAGAGGTCTTCCTTCCCCTGGTTAACTCTCTAAATGGGCGCAACAGCTGGAGCTGAGCTGATCTGAAACCAGGAGCCACAGCTTCTTCTGGGTCTCCCATGGGTTCAGAGGCCCAAGACCTTGGTCCATCCCATCTGCTTTCTTCTGGTTTCACTCCCCAAATGCTTGGAACAGCCAGGCCTGAGGCAGGCCAAAGCCAAGAGTCTTGAACTGCTTCTAGGTCTCAGGTGGGTAGCAGGGACCCAGGTACTGAAACCATCATCTGCAGCATTCCTAAGGTGCACTTTAGGAGGCAGCTGAACTGGAAGCAGAGTCAGGATTCCATCCCAGGCACTCTGATAGGAGATTGTGCAGGTCTCCCAAGCAGCAGCTCACCTTGTGTTCCAGCGCCCGCCCCCTCAAATCTCTTTTTCATACACACATGCCCACATGCTCATCTTTTAAAAATACTTCTTAACAAGTTCATAAGCGTTTTCTTATTTCATCTTTTACAAGATCCATATCATTGAATACATCATTGGTGATGTACTAAAATTCAGTTACCTTCTTACTGCTGAACATGCTATTCCTAGTTTTCCACTCTTGTAAGTAGTATTTTGAAAGTATTTGCTTGTATCTGACTGTTTCAGATTCCTAGATACAGATTAGCAGGTGCATGACAATTAAATATACATGGAGCCAAACCCTGTATTGCCTTATTTCTTATACTCTTGAATGCTGTCGACTTAGACTCCTCAAAAATGGCCCTATTCCATGCATTGCTTTAGAGCCTTACACAGTCTCAGCTATAAGATGTATTAGAGTATAGTGAAAAGGGCTTTGGGCTAGATGTAAGGAAACATGGAATTTGATTCCAGTTTGATCACCATTTAAATACGTGACTTAGTGACTGAGCTACTCAATAAACATCTTCATCTTTAAAATAGGGCCAGTGGCCAGCATCATGGCATAACAGGTAAAGCCTCTGCCTGCAACGCCAGCATCCCATATGGGCCCCTTTTGTGTTCCAAGTGCTTCACTTCTGATCCAGCTCGCTGTTGTGCCTGGGAAAGGCAGCAGAAAGTGGCCCAGGTGTTTGGGTCTCTGCCACCCATGTGAGAGACCCAGAAGAAGCTCCTGGCTTTGTCCTGCCCCAGCCCTGGCTGTTGTGGCCATCTAGGGAGTGAACCAGTGGATGGAAGATCTCTCTCTCTTCTCTCTGGAACTCTTCCAAATAATTTTTTTTTTTTTTAAAGTTGGGGCCAGCACTGTGGTACAACAGGTGAAGCTGCTGCCTTCAACACCAGCATCCCATATGAGTGCTGGTTTGGGTCTCAGCTGTTCTACTTCTGACACAGCTCCCTGCTAATGCATCCGGGAAAGCAGTGGAAGATAGCCCAAGTCCTTGGTTCCCAGCACCCATGAGGGAGACCTGGAAGAGGCTCCTGGCTTCTGCCTGGCCCAGCCTTTGGTCATTGCAGCCATTTGGGGAGTGAACCAGTGGATGGAAGACATCTTATCTCCTTCTCTATTTAACTCTTTAAAAAAAAAAAAGTTTAGGGCAAATGATACAAAGTGGGGAAAAAAAGATAAAATGGCTTCTGTTTAAATGATTTATGACTGAGGTAGGACAACACTATATATTTTGGATATTTAGTGTCTTAAATGGAATAGTTAATTTTAAGTAGTTGACATAGGAGACTGGGTAGGGATTCAGCTTTAGCAGTTTGCTCTCTGGGAAATATTATGACAAGTTGTGTATCATGCCATTACTTTAGGCAAATAATACTTTATCTACCTAAAAGGTGTTTGAGGCATTCAAAAAAAATTAACACATTTTCAGCTTAGTGCAACGTACTGATTAATCAGTCTCAGTGTATAGTTAGAGGAGATCTGCTGGGGTATGATAATTTCCCACAGATTTGGTGCTGGAGGCAGCGTAGTTAGTAAGGCACATCTGTTTCTTAGGTGTCTACCATGATTCTCAGACCCCGCCTTCTCCCTGGCGGGCATGCAGGTGATGGACTGGGCTCGTTTAGCTTTATCAGTGATTCTCTTCAACCCTTGACGCATACAGAGTCACATGTATTCTGTAATAAATGATTTTTAGATCTGCGCCTAGAGTATACATGATTTATTTGGTCTGGGCTGTAGCTGGGTACCCTGCTTAAACCTGCGCCACAATGCTGACCCCTTAAAAGCTCGCGAGAGAATCTAAGTTTCTTTTAAGTGTGTTAAAGCTGTCCACTTTCAGAATAAGAGGAAACAAAATAATGAACACAGTTGGTGAACAGAGAAATTAAAATTTTCAGTAAATAGAATATTTCTCCATTCTTTTTAATTGAGAAAAGATTGTTAATTTCTTTTAAATAAGATTTACATGAGAAAATATCTTGTTAGTCTCAGTATTTACAACTAAAAGGAGAATTACCAGGTTAAGGAAATAAAAGTACTTGTAATTCTGCTTTTATACTTTACAAGAAGAGAATTCTAGAAGTTCAAGGTAACAGTCCTTTGGGCTGAGGTTTAGTCATGTAGTGCTGAGGTATGCAGTGGCAGGCCAAGATTCTGGGGAGCCAGAGTTGTCCTGGTCTCCCTGTGATTTGAGGGACACACAAAGGGCAATGTATGATTAAGTTAATACAGTGTTGTGATGTCTCTGATTATTTATACTTGTATCTCTCTCCAGATTGCGTGACTTGACACTGTGTTCTTATATTATTTTTATTTTAAGTCGGAGCCCCATAACATGGTGTGGGAAGTGAAGACAAATCAGATGCCTAATGCAGTACAGAAACTCCTGCTGGTAATGGACAAGAGAGCTTCAGGAATGAATGACTCACTGGAGTTGCTGCAGTGTAATGAGAATTTGCCATCCTCACCTGGATATAACTCCTGTGATGAGCACATGGAGCTTGGTAAACAAAATATCACTTAGGGATCTCACTCAAATGCAGATTACTTTTAAAATTTGCTCAGCTTCTCCACCTATCTTGACTGCTTAAAAAAGTGTGTGGTGGTTTTGTTTCTTGGGAATTTTCAACATTGTCTTGTTAGTGCTGTTGAAATGCTACTTAAAATCAACATGAGTTTGGGTTGTTGATAGTTACCATAGACTTATTTACAAATTATTAAACTTAACTGCTTTGCTTCGTATGTAAAGATTGAACTAAACACCTCAGGAAAACTCAGCTATGTGATTTTTCGAAAGATACTACTTGGGAAACATCACCTAGTGAACACCTAACCCCTGATGGTTAGGTGTTCTTCCTGGCCATTCAGTTGGTGTGATAGGAAAATGAGGATCTGATGTTTGCAGTTATTTGCGGTGATCACTCTGGCTGAATTACCCCAGAGGTGGCCTACAGAACTGTGTTGGTTTGTTGAGAGTGTTTTAGATTGTGTCGCTTTGAGGTTTGTGCTCAGGAGTAAATAGCTATTGAGTGACCTTTGCTCACTGCCCAGCCTTTCTGCTCAGCTTTGTCTCCATTTAGTATGTAGTTGTCCGTAATGCTCGTAAAAACCCCGAGAGGAAGAGACGACTGTCTTCATTTTACTATGCTGAAATGGAGGAGGTTATGTGCTACAATAACATTTGGGAATTTGGAGACCCTGAAGGTCTCAGGACATAATCTGTTTGCCAGAGATTTTTCTGGGCCTTAATATCCATTGCCTTGTGGTTATTGTTGAGCAAGGAGCACCATTTTACTCAAATAGTGGATTCAGAGCCATCATGTGTTAGGTTTCAGGAGGAAATCATACCCAAGGGAATCGAAAACTTGTTGCCTTCCACCCATGATTTCAGTTAAAAAGTAGTTAATTTCCTGATCTTGAAAGACAGGAACGAACCCTGTACAATAAATAAAGAAATGACGATCAAAGGAGGGGTGCTGGAAATTAGGGAAGGCAAATAGCTATAGCATTATTTGAATATTAGGGTGGCATTATCTTAAATTGGTATTGTGTTTTAGAACTCCTGGGCTGCTCCATAAAAGGGGACTACCTTCTAGTCAGTTTAATGAATGGATGTTTAGATTCAGTGCTTTCTTGTAAGTTTTGGTTTTAATAGGCTCTTTGGAATATTTGCCTGAATAGGAACTATACAAGGATAATTTAAAAAGTTCATGGAAAAACAGAGTTGAAAGATATTGGGGCTGGCACTGTGCCATAGAAAGTTAAACTGCCATCAGCAGCGCTGGCATCCATATGGATGCTGGTTTGAGTCCCAGCCACTCCACTCCTGATCCAGCTTTCTGCTATGGCCTGGAAAAGCAGCAGAAGATGGCCCAATGCCTTGGGCCCCTGCCACCCACATAGGAGACTTAGAGGAAGCTCCTGGCTTTGGCCTGTCCCAGCCCTGGCTCTTGCATCCATCTGGGGTGTGAACCAGCTGATGGTCTTATCACTCTCTCCTCTCTCTGTGTATCTCTGCCTTTCAAATAAATAAATAAATATTAAAAAAAAATGTTGGCACAAAAATTTCAAAAAAGTATGTGTGATTTTTTAATATTCTCATTTCCCATGAACTTTTTTGGACTTCTTTGTGTATTCTTCTGGTGACTCTTAGGAAGCTAGAGTGGGCTTCTTGGTTTGTGTGTTTTACCCATGGACCTGCAGTGCTTATGCTTAGGTTTTCCATGGACAGGGGCTGTTAGCTTTTAAGGCCTGCAAAGATGCTTCTTCTTCCCTTCTTTGTACTCTGTTTCTCTTTTTTGGTTTTTAAGGGTTCAGTTTTTTTGAATTCCTTGTTCCTTCCATTGTTTCTAGGCTTGGTGTGTATGTGAATGGTACTTAGTGTTTCAGTTGTCTTTGTCGAAGAGCTAAAGGTCTACCATAAACTACCTTTCAGGGATATACCCACAAGAGTAATAATCAATAAATAGTACTGAGTTCAGCATTTCTTGGTGAAATGCTTTTAACACAGAGTTGTCTAAGTAGTATCTAAATGTTCATGTCTGTATTCTCATTTTTGCAATATCTGTGTACTAGGATATAAAGTTTTGTAGTTAATGACTATATATGAGTATATGTACACATACAATGCCTTCTTCCTTGTAAGGTGTTAATGTAAAATACCCCAGTGGCCTATGTATTACTCCCTGGGGAGATTCATAAAACGGGGGCCAGGAGAGTCAAACCACAACCGGACCCTCTTTTTTCATTCTGTTAGTAGTTGTGCTAACTGTTCACAATAGTGATATCACTTCTGCATTTGTTGGGTTTTCCATCAGCCTCTCTGACCCTTAAATGCATAAGGTATCACTTTACAAATATGTTGCATTCAGAAGAATATTTTTGAATTTAATTATGAATTTATGATTTTCCTCTCATAAAATATGTTTGCTAGATTTGAGGATTTCTCTGCTGACTACCATTATAATGTGACTCCTTGTGTGAGTGATTTCTTTGTTACAGTTTTGAATGTGCTTACTTGCAGATGACCTTCCCGAACTTCAGGCTGTTCAAAGTGATCCTACCCCTTCTGCCATATACCAGCTAAGTTCTGACGTTTCACATCAAGAATATCCAAGACCATCTTGGAACCAAAATACCTCAGATGTATCAGAGAATACTTACCGTGAAAATGAGGTGGACTGGCTAACAGAATTAGCAAATATTGCCACCAGTCCACAAAGTCCACTTATGCAGTGCTCATTTTACAACAGGTAAGAGCATTGATTATTTTTGTTTAAAACTTCAGATGTTGGGGTGGGCATTTGGCTCAGTGGGAAGTTGCCACTTGAGATGCTGGCATCCTGTATGTGGGTATCTGTCCTGCTACTCTGCTTCTGATCCAGCTTCCTGTTCATGCACACCCTGGGAGGCAGCAAATGATGATTCCAGTGCCTAGGTTTTTGCCAGTCCACATGGGAGACCTGGATGGAGTTTGTGGCTCCTTGCTTCAGCCTGACCTTGCCCTGGCTATTGGCAGTATTTAGACAATGAGTTAGCTGATGGGAGCTCTCTGTTTCTCTGTCTTTTGGGTAAAATAAAGTCAAAATGACTAAATAAAAATTTTTAAAACTTAATATTACAAAGGCTATTGAATTTTTTCCAGTTTCAAAAGTACTAATGTTGTTTACCATCTGATGAATGATTCACTTAAATTTGCTTTAGGTCTTTAGAATTCAGTTAGTTTTTGTTGTTTAAATATGTTATTTATTTGAAAGTCAGGATTTCAGGGAGAGAGGATGAGAGAGAGAGACAGAGACACAAAGGTATCTTGCATCCTCTGGTTCATTTTCTAGATAGGTTCAGTGGCCAGGTTAGGCAGGGCTGAACCTAGGAGCCAGTAGCTTCTTCTCTGTGTCTAACATGGGTGGCAGGAGCCCAAACACTTGGGCCATCTTCTGTTTTTTTTCCCAGATGCATTAGCAGGGAGCTGGATCAGAAATGGAGTAGCCGGGGTGTGAACCTATGCCCATAAGGGATGCTGGTGTTGCAGGTGGCAGCTTTGCCCACTTTGCCACAACACTATTTTCAAGGAGTTATTTCACCCAATACTGTGATTTCATAACTGGAGAATTATATAAAGATATGAGAACAACCATTAAAATATTTTTTTAGGGGCCGGCGCCGTGGCTCACTTGGTTAATCCTCCGCCTGCGGTGCCGGAATCCCATATGGGTGCTGGGTTCTAGTCCCGGCTGCTCTTCTTCCAGTCCAGCTCTCTGTTGTGGCCCGGGAAGGCAGTGGAGGATGGCCCAGGCGCTTGGGTGCTTGCACCCGCGTGGGAGACCAGGGGGAAGCACCTGGCTCCTGGTTTTGGATTGGCGTAGCTCCGGCCGTAGCGGCCATTTGGGGGGTGAACCAATGGAAGGAAGACCTTTCTCTCTGTCTCTTCCTCTCACTGTCTGTGACTCTACCTGTCAAATAAATAAAAAAAAAAATTTTTTTTTTTAATGTTTAAAAGTCATCAAAGTGGTCAGGCACTGTGGCATAATGGGTGAAGCCACCGCCTGCAGTGCCAATATCCCATACGGGCGCCGATTTGAGACCCGGCTGCTCCACTTCTGATCCAGCTCTCTGCTGTGGCCTGGGAAAGCAGCAGAAGATGGCCCAAGTGCTTGGGCCCCTGCAACTACATGGGAGACCCAGAGGAGGCTCCTAGCTCTTGGCTTTGGACTGGCACAGCTCTGGCCGTTGCAGCCATTGGGGGAGTAAACCAGCAGATGGAAGATCTTTCTCTCTCTGCCTCTATGACTCTCTGTAATTGTACCTTTCAAATAAATAAATAAGTCTTTAAAAAAAAAAAAGTCCTCAAAAATAAATTAGAATAATATGCCTGCTTTTAGAAACAAAAATATTTGCTTAAAGAACCACAGTAATAATATACATTGTACTTTAAGCTTGTGTTACTTTAAACTTGTATTAACCTTGAAGTTAGTTCTTTTTGCTTTAGTCTTATGTCTTCCACAATGTATGTGGCTTTATTTGTCTATTTGCTGATTCTGAAGATTGCTAATGCTAAAATCCTGAAGTTATAAAAATGGACTCCTATTAGCAAAAATGACCATATATCCAGATAAGTGTTTAAGAAGTAGAGAGTTGTGTGAAATTATGGTGGCTTCCAACTAATATTTCTAGGAGACCTAAGTGAATAGCAACATATCATCATCTATCCCCTAAAAATAATATGGAGAAATACGATAGTTTGTAAGGGAAAGAAGTGCCTAGATTTGCATGCCTGTGGGTGGAAAATGATAGACCAGAGTCCATACTACTAAGCTGCAGGAGTAACTGGAATCCTGGTCCTGGTGCTAGGTTAGTGTACTGCTTTGCCAAAGAATAAACTTTTTAACCTTCAAACCCAGGTTTTCTTGTGACCTATTGGGTTGTCTTTAAAAATTTTATTTTGCATGGTAATTGGTTTTTATTAGAGCAAATTCAGTTGAGTTAACTTTATTTTAATCACATGTAAGTTTCCATAGGGAAGAAAATTTGCCTTTCAGAGTATTATTTCTTCATAATTCTAGTTTTCAGTGTAATCATAATAATCAAAATGCTAAAAAATGCTTTAAGATTTTTTATTTTATTTACTTTTTTTTTATTTTTTTATTTTTTGACAGGCAGAGTGGACAGTGAGAGAGAGAGAGAGACAGAGAGAAAGGTCTTCCTTTTGCCGTTGGTTCACCTTCCAATGGCCGCCACGGCCGGCGCACTGCGGCCGGCGCATCGCGCTGATCCGAGGCCAGGAGCCAGGTGCTTTTCCTGGTCTCCCATGTGGGTGCAGGGCCCAATTACTTGGGCCATCCTCCACTGCACTTCCCTGGCCACAGCAGAGAGCTGGCCTGGAAGAGGGGCAACCGGGACAGAATCCGGCGCCCCGACCGGGACTAGAACCTGGTGTGCCGGCACCGCAAGGTGGAGGATTAGCCTAGTGAGCCACGGAGCCGGCCATATTTTATTTACTTTTAAAGATTTATTTATTTATTTGAAAGGCAGTATTACAGAGAGGCAGAGGCACAGAGAGAAGTCTTCCATCCACTGGTTCATTCTCCAGATGGCTGCAGCTGCTGGAGCTGGGCCAATTCAAAGCCAGGAGCCAGGTGCTTCTTCTGGATCTCCCACGCGGGTACAGGTGCCCAAGGACTTGGGACATCTTCAACTGCTTTCCCAAGCCATAGCAAAGAGCAGGATCAGAAGTGGAACAGCTGGGACTCGAACTGGTGTCCATATGGGATGCTGGCACTACAGGTGGCAGCTTTATCTGCTGCACCACAGTGCCAACCCCTGAATTTTTTATAAAAACAAACCCTGACTTAATTATTGGGTCTCTTCCTACCATTTCTGGTTTGGAGATAATACTTCTCATTTTTCACAGCAGAGTCATGAGAATTAATCATGTAGTTCCTGGAAAGTGAGTAAACCCTTCGGAAGCAAAACAGTACGAAGACCTACGTAAGGGGTTATCTCCCCAAGGATGTAATTTACTCTACACGTCTTCTACGTTTCCCTTAGCATAGAAAGAATCACTCTGCTGTCTTGCCAGCCATTGGTGCTGTCAGTGGCTGCCCATGAACTTCTCATGCAGTGTTAATCCCCACCAGCGTTTGAGCTCTTGATGTGTGCAGTCATAATTGTTCAGCACCAAAGCTTTGCTGCACAGATAGCGTGCAGATTGGTGTTAGGCAGGCTCTAGCATGGTAATTTTCATAGAATATTTAGGCCACCAGCATTTTAGAACATTGTTACTTATATTTTAAGTCATCATACTACTAAAAGAATTGATGAAACTTTTGTCTATTAGTCATGAGTCAGGGATAAGCAAAAGGAATTTGTAGCAGTTTGCCTTCCTCTGATATGTCATATACATCTAAATATGTAATAAAAGGAACAAGTTGTGTAGAGAGGAAACATGCAGCGTGTAATTTAAAATACTTGATGGGAGAGTATGTAGGCTATATGGGAATTTGAGGGACTACTTATTTATTTATTTATTTTTTAAAGATTTAAGCCAGGAGCCAGGAGCCTTCTCCAGGTCTCTCACACGGGTACAGGGGCTCAAGGACTTGGGCCATCTTCTACTGCTTTCCCAGGCCATAGCAGAGAGCTGGATCGGAAGTGGAGCAGCCGGGACTCAAACTGGTGCCCATATGGGATGCCAGCATTGCTAGGCGGCAGCTTTAGTCATAGCACCGGCCATGGGACTTCTCATTTAAGGAGTAATGTGAAAATGAAAGCATAGTTTCATAGATCCTCATTTTCACATCATTTCTGTGAAGGTACAATGAAAAGATCATTTTTAAAAAATATTTATTTTCTTTATTAGAAAGGATTGTTGGGGGGGGTGGTGGTTTACTCCCTGGATGGCCTCAACAGGCTAGGCCAGACAGGAGCCAGGAGCCAGGAGTTCCTCTGGGTCTCTCAGGTGGGTGCAGGGGCCCAAGGACTTGGCCATTCTCTGCTGCTTTCCCAGGAGCACTAGCAGGGAGTTGGATCAGAAGTGGAACAGACAGGAGGTGAATCAGTGCCTATATGGGATGCTGGCATCGCAGGAAATAACTTTACTTGTTATGTCACAATGCTGTCCCCAGTGAGAAGGTCTTAATTGAGGATAAAATACAAATTGAAGGGAGGAATAAAGATTTTTCAGGAAATAAGGGAAGGATTAGAAAGATGTTCTTCTCCCCTTTAAAAAAATGGTTATTAGTACAGACATACATCAGTTAGCTACATTTGATGTATAATAACTTCTTTTTTTAAGATTTATTTATTTATTTATTTGGAAGTCAGAATTACACGCAGAGAAGGAGAGACAGAGGGAGAGAGAGAGAAAGACAGTGAGGTCTTCCATCCGCTGGTTTACTCCCCAGTTGGCTACAACAACCGGAGCTGCGCCAATCCAGAGGAGGAGCCAGGAGCATCTTCCGGGTCTCCCACACGGGTGCAGGGGCCTGAGGACTTTGGCCATCTTGTACTGCTTTCTCAGGCCATAGCAGAGAGCTGGATCGGAAGTGGAGCAGCCAGGACTCGAACTGGTGCCCATAGGGGATGCTGGCACTGCAGGCGGCACCTGCTGTACCACAGCGGGGGCCCCTGTATAGTAACTTTAACAAATTTGAATTAGAAAATAAGATACAGTGTCTGGTGCTGTGGTGTAGTGGGTAAAGCCACCACCTGCTGTGCCGGCATCCCATATGGGAACTGATTCAAGTCCCAACTGCTCCACTTCTGATCCAGTTCCCTGCTATGGCCTGGGAAAGCAGTAAAAGAGGGCCCAAGTCCTTGGGCTCCTGCATCCACGTGGAAGACCCAGAAGCAGCTCCTGGCTCCTGGCTTCAGATCAGCTCAGCTCTAGCTGTTGCGGCCATCTGAGGAATGAACCAGCAAGTGGAAGTGGAAGACTGCTCACTCTCTCTCTGTCAGCCTCTCTGTAACTCTGCCTTTCTTTTTCTTTTCTTTTTCTTTCTTTTCTTTTCTTTTCTTTTTTTTTTTTTTTTTTGACAGGCAGAGTGGACAGTGAGAGAGAGAGACAGAGAGAAAGGTCTTCCTTTGCCGTTGGTTCACCCTCCAATGGCCGCCGCGGCCGGCGCGCTGCGGCTGGCGCACTGCGCTGATCCGATGGCAGGAGCCAGGTGCTTCTCCTGGTCTCCCATGGGGTGCAGGGCCCAAGCACCTGGGCCATCCTCCACTGCACTTCCCTGGCCACAGCAGAGAGCTGGCCTGGAAGAGGGGCAACTGGGACAGAATCCGGCGCCCTGACCAGGACTAGAACCTGGTGTGCCGGTGCCGCCAGGCAGAGGATTAGCCTAATGAGCCGTGGCGCCGGCCTAACTCTGCCTTTCAAATAAAACAAATCCTAAAAAAAAATACAGTGTCCAGTTATAAGGAGTGGGAAATAGGCCGCTTTCTGTTACAGTAAGTTTAAACATTTTTGTTTCAAGGAGTTCATTGTTTTTGCTCAATGACACACTGGTTGATAAAGAGTTCGGGGTTGGTCATTTTAAGCATTGGTGCTGTATTCATTCCAAGACTTACTGAGGGTATCCCAGTAGAAGAAAGAAATGGGTGATATGTTGATATGGGTTAACTAAATGAAACAGGAGCAGTAATTGAAAATTCGTTGTCAGATGTAGTGTGTGAGGATGGTTTGGGTATGAAACAGCATATGGTGGATGAAATCTTGCAGTGTGTACTGGTGTTCGCCAGTGGTGTTTCAGATGAGTGACAATGAATACGAAGTTCTCTCAAAAGGAAGGCTCTATTTTAAGCACCTATGCTTTATAATTAAAACTTTGAAAACTTTGATTTTAGATCATCTCCTGTGCACATCATAGCTACTAGCAAAAGTTTACATTCCTACGCACGCCCTCCACCAGTGTCCTCATCTTCGAACCCTCATCACCACTGGAAGGAGGAGACCCCAGTGAGACATGAACGGGTGAGTTCCTTCCGGAGGTCACGCTTTCAGGAAGGTTGCAGCCGACACCTGCCCCGTCTAAGAAGCTCCTTGGAGGCACATTCAGAGAGGAGAAAGTATGTCTCGTTCTGCTGGTGTCAGGACTGCATTTTGTAAACAGCTCATTTCCTGTTAGGACAGTCTGTAACAAGTAGGAGTACACATTTTCCCCTAAGTTTAGAATGATTAAGTTATTAACTAATAAAAGATAAGCTTGAAAGCTTGGCATAGAAACAGGTATTAAAAGATAAAAAATAAGGTTATCATATTTTTCTCCATAGGCAAACAGTGAGTCAGAGGCTGGCATTTTCTGCATGTCCTCCCTGTCAGATGATGATGATTTGGGGTGGTGCAATTCCTGGCCTTCCACTGTTTGGCACTGCTTTTTGAAAGGTAACAAACAAAAGCAAAATACTTGGCTGCTGAGCAGCGTCAGTAGGTAGCGTGCACGTCACACATCTAATTCTCGTTTTCTGCTTAAACTTCAGGCACACGGCTGTGCTTTCATAAGGGAAGCAATAAGGAGTGGCAGGATGTTGAAGATTTTGCTAGAACTGAAGGTTGTGAAAATGAGGACGACCTCCAGATGAGCACTCACAAGGTTAATTTCAAATTCTTCAGAAATCTTTCTAAATGAGGCGTAAGGTTCATGGTGAATCTGTGAGCATGTCTTCTGTTTGCTTTCATGTTATATGACACTGTATGTCTCAGGTACTGGTTTCTCCTGAGGGAGAGGAGCAGTGATTTAGGCTTACCTGGGTATGCTTTCTTGCATAGGAAAAACAGGATGCTTCATAGCGCTTTTCTGTATCTTATGTATTTTATATTGGGGAACACTAAATTGTCATAAAAATGAAATAATCAAAGCTTTGTCTTACTACTCCCCTGTAGATAATTGATAGTGTTTAAATGATCTTACCAAACACAAGCAATTTCAGCAAAAGCAGTAGTGAACATTAGGATTAGTGATTGACACCTTTCACTTTGAGATCTTTAATTCTGCATCCCTGCTGTTAGCAGAAAGAGTTGCCATGAAGTGTGCTTGCTTGTAAGTCCTTTTCTGTCTTACTGTCTTGCTTCTCTTGAAAGAAACAGTCTTGGCATGGCTGCCTTCACTCCCCAGCCCTGCCCCTCGCTGCCATTACCCTTCACCCCTGTTCACAGTAGTCAGACTTTGGCCTGCACTGCATGACTAGAAGCGGCCCAGCTTACTGGCATTGTTCTGATTCCTAGGACCTGAGACTTAGGCGTGGTCTGTTTGCTCTGCAGTACTACATTCAGTGTTCCTGACATCTTCCCTTGATGGTGGAGCGTGGCAGTGCCCTAGTCCTCGTTGCTTTCTCCCGTGCTTGCCTGCCCAGGGAATGTGCCGAAGCCCGAGTTCTGCCCCTCTGCACTTGTCATCACTTCCTTTCTGCTCATGAGTCAGTGTTGCCTCCATAGTGTCTTGAGGAAAGCACTTAGGACTTGGAGTCAGAACATCTGGGTTGGCTTTCTGCCTCTCCAGGCACTGTTTGTATGACTGGCCTTGGACATCTGTACATTGAGACTGGATTAGTTGTAAGGTGTCGGAGCTCCAGGAATCAGATTACTTATAAATATGCATCTGTAGCCTTCACCTACCCATTTCCAATTGCATGTTAGATATCTCATGAATGTCAGTCAGCTCCTCAAACTCCGGGCCCAGAAGCTCTACTGACTTCTCTCTGACCCCTCTTGGGGTCTTTTAAAGCGACTATCCTTCTTGCTGACCTGATTCGCAATCATCAGGTTGTCTTACTGTTCCCATTCTCTCCTTCAGTACTTCATACGTGCACTAATATAATAATAATTGGATATTCTAGTTAGCTATTGGCATATTTGTTGCAGGGTAAGAATCACGTCTTGTTTGTATTTTTAGATCTTATAACTTAGCATGTACTAAACACTCCATAAATATTCATGATTCATCTCTCCTTTTTAGCCTTATTTGCCCCAAATCTGAACTCACCTTGTACTTTTAGCAAATATTCAACATTCTCCAAGGAAGCTAGCTGCTCATGACAACTTGTTTCTGTGCAAGGCGTGCTCTCGTTCTACCATTCTACATTTTGTTCTTTTAGCTCCCAGTTCAAATGGAACTGAAAGCCATCACTAGTATCTTTTGGAATGAGTATCTTCTTTTACTAAACTCCATCGGCCTTACTCAAGTTAAAAGTGCTTATTACCATCTGCCTCATACATACTGTTGTTCTTTATATGTGTGCCTTTCTGCCCTACTGGTTTGGAAACTCTTTAAAGGCACAAGTTCTGTCTTTGTTATTTTTCCCACAGAGTCTTACACGTGATGAAAACTTCACTGTGTCCTGAGTTGAACATTTCCAATTCATTCACTCTGTGCATATATTTTCAGGGCTATGGTTCTGATGGTCTAAAGTTGTTATCACATGAAGAAAGTGTGTCATTTGGTGAGTCTGTTCTGAAGTTGACTTTTGATCCTGGTACAGCAGAAGATGGCTTACTTACCGTAGAGTGTAAGCTGGACCACCCTTTCTATGTTAAAAATAAAGGTAGGGCTTCGATTGAGTTTGTAGTAACTTTTAAAAGTTTCTTAAATCTCTGATTATGTATTTTGGCTTTGATGATTAAGGGGGGAAAAAAGATTTGAAGGGAAAATTTCCTTCAAACTAAGTAAAAACGCCATAGAGAATGCTTATTATAATAATATCTAATGATGCTCGAGTATCTTAACAACAGTCAGATGGGTCTCTAATTCCTACAGGATTCCTCTAGCGTGCTATCATAAGTTCTGTGTTATTTTGGTATAGTTTGGGGAATGTTGTATTCTGGTAATCACATTTTGATTTATTTACCAGATATGTTGTAAACCTGAATCATTTTTCAAAGGCTTACTAGAATAACACCATAACAGTATGTTAAACATAATGTAATAATTCAGAGACTATCTCATGGTACTAATTATCATCATTTATCACTATCTTATAGGTTGATGGAAGTGCTGATTGATAGAGATGTACATATTAATAAAGTGTGTAATTACACTAGTTTGGAGGGCTTTTCCATTGTTGAAAGGAAATAATTACCTAGTACTTTTACCACAGATGCATGACCTGTGTTAGAAAAATCTAAATTTTAAGTAATTATTTTAATAACTTTTAAATTTTTTAGATGCAGAAATAATGGTAGGTCTGTTACAGAATCATCTGGGTGCTTTCTTTCACTCATCCTTTGTGCTGCTGTTGTTTGACTTCAGGTTGGTCCTCATTTTACCCAAGCCTGACTGTGGTGCAGCATGGCATTCCATGTTGTGAAGTCCACATTGGCGATGTCTGTCTACCTCCCGGACACCCCGACGCCATTAATTTTGATGATTCAGGGGTCTTTGATACATTTAAAAGGTAATATTGGGTAAAATCCCTTTTTTTATTTAAATTTATTCTTAATTTCTTTAATGATTGCTAAGTCAAATATTTAGAATTTGATAATTACAAAAGGACTACTTAAAGTATAGTCATGATGACATGACAAACTAGGTGGTTAAGTGTGAAGAATTAGAAGTTTTACATGAGTAGTCATATGGACAAAGCGAGTTTATAAAACATTTAGGATTAGATTAGAAACAATATCACACTGCATGACCAAGAATTTAGTGGATCAGCTTTGATAGTTACATTTGAAAAATCTGCTAAGTTTAACCAGCCTGTAAGCCTACTAGTCTTCATAGCTAATTCTTTCTTTGTGAGTAGTTACCTGTGTTTACTACTTATTTTCATCAAGGACATTAGTTGTTTAAAAATAGCAAAAATTTGACATTTGGAGATTTAGAAAGGGAGCAGTTTTTCCTGAGTTTACCTTGCTAGTAACTAGCAGAATAAAACATGAACCCATGTGTCCCAACTGTAAGTTGACTAGTGTCCCAGTTTATATGGGACTTTCCTGGGTTCAGCACTGAGTCCAGCATTCTTTTAAAACCCTCAGTCCTGACATACTGGGCCAGTTGTTTATCCTGCTCTCAGAAGGTACCCAGAGAAAGCCTTTATCTGGGATTTAAAAACTCACTCTTTTTTGAGATGATTATCCAGTATATAAGCATGTAAAGGCACTAAGTAAAGAATTCTTCAGAGTTCATATTATCCTGTACTTCTTATTTCATTCAACAAAATGCAATATATTTTATATATTCCTAAGGATAAGAGACATTGTTACTAAAAAAGCGGCTAGCATAGGGCCCACACCGCAGTCTGTTTCATAAATGTCCACGACATTGGAATCTAAGTGCTGTTTGACTGCATGTTTTAGTTTCTTTGAAAAACTATAGAAAAATCAGAGAATTTTAAGTATTCTTAGAATGTAGATACTGGTAAGTATGTTTTCGGTCAGGGTGTAACCTAATAGAAAATTTTGGGGGATACTTTGGCTTTATCTTGTAAAGGTGAGTATCAGCAATTCCATGTCCATTACACATACTCCAGAGGAAAATTCTTGTGGATAGAACAAGGTGATAGGGGCTGGCGCCGTGGCTCACTTGGTTAATCCTCCACCTGCGATGCCAGCATCCCATATGGGGGCCGGGTTCTGGTCCCGGTTGCTCCTCTTCCAGTCCAGCTCTCTGCTGTGGCCTGGGAAGGCAGTGGAGGATGGCTGAAGTGCTTGGGCCCCTGCACCTGCATGGGAGACCAGGAAGAGGCACCTGGCTCCTGGCTTTGGATCGGCGCAGAGCCGGCCATGGAGGCCATTTGGGGAGTGAACCAACGGAAGGAAGACCTTTGTCTCTCTCTCTCACTGTCTTAACTCTACCTGTCAAATAAACAAAAATAAAAAAAAAAAAATTTAAAAAAAAGGAACAAGGTGATGTGTAAATAAGCTTGTAGCTAGCTCTATTGCTCATAATAAAAATGTTATCAAACATTATCAGTACCTGCTAACTGAAGTATAATCATGCAGTGAAACTTTTTATCAGTTGAAAAAATTATAAGCTTTATAAATAATCTTCATCTTATGGTTATGTTGGGGGTTCCCTAAGACCACATTGTGATTCTGTGAGTCACCACAGTTGTGTTCATTGCCATGATTTATTGTGGCAAGGATCAGGAAAAGGAAAGAAATGGAGTGAAAGTCTGGGGGAAGCCAGTCTTGCAAGGTCCTCTCCGGTGGAGGAAGGCACAGAAGACGTGCTGAATTCCTTCTGCGGGAGTTGTGACAACACGTGTGAGGTGCTATCTGCCGGGGCCGCTCGTGAAGATGCCCAGCATCCAGGGTTTTACTGTGAGCTGATCGCCTCTGCTTGGTACCTGTCAAGATCCCGGACTTCCAAGAGAACAGAAGGTGTTTCAGAGTTGTTTGTGCAGTTTAGTTGCAGGAAGCGATTCTCGTCAGTGTGGGCATGCTAGGAATCATGGGAAAGTCCCAAAGGCCAACCGTATGGGAACACCTGTGAAAGGATACCACTCAGGCCTGCCATACTGTCTTCTTTGCACAATAAAACATTATGTGTTATGTGCTAGTGTAATAAGCATATTAACATAATACTTTGATAGTATTTATATTTATGAATCATAGGTTGTTTTCATAATAGAATGAGAAACCTAAGTTTAAGGAGCCTGGTTATCTTTGGGGCTGGCCAATGTGGAACATTTGTGATCAGTACAAACATCCACTTTTTCATTGGGATTCTGGGTTCACTTATATTTATATGCATGCTTCATAACTTATCTATATGCTACATGGAGTTTTTTTTTTAAAGATTTATTTATTATTTGAAAGGCAGAGTTACAGAGGGGCAGAGAGAGTGGTCTTCCATCTTCTGGTACACTCCCCAAATGGCCACAATGGCTGGAGCTTTGCCAGTCTGAAGCCAGGAGCTTCTGGGTCTCTCACATGGGTGCAGGGGTCCAAGGACCTAGACCATTTTCTGCTTTCCCAGGCCATAGCAGAGAGCTGGATTGGAAGTGGGGCAGGCGAGACTCGAACCAGTGCCCATATGGGATGCTGGTGCTGCAGGTGGCAGCTTTACTCGCTAAGCCACAGCGCCAGCCCTGTTACATGACTTTAAGATGTGAAGTATTGCATGGTGCAAAACTTGTGCTTTTTAATGCAAAAGGGACACTTGGCTGCTTAGTTCCTGTCCCTTCTCACCTGGAATGTTACTGTTACTTAACTTCCACCAAATGATCTCTCTCAAGACAGCCAGGTCATTGATCTCGTTTTACTTCTGAGTGACAGCAGCAAACACCAACAAGACCCTCCTTCCTCTTCCCACAAAGGAGTGGCCATTGGGCAGTTTGACCCAGAGAAACTATGAAAAAGTTGAGGAGCATGGAGGAGCACAAAGGTTTCCTGTGGACTGGGTTACAAAGTGGGGGTTAAGGGAGTTGAGGCCCTGCATCGGGAGGGCAAGAAGGGAAAGGCAGGCAGGAAGAACCAACAGACTACCAGGCCGCCTCAGACTAAGTTCCCAAGTGCACTTGGGGTTTTGGGGTAGCCTAATCTCTCGGGTCATGAGTTACTACATTTTAGCTTAGTGAGAACTGGAAGTAGTCAACAGTACATCCGTGAGCTCTTCCACACAATTTGAAGCTCTACTATGGAAATGAAACCCATTTTGAGACACTGAGCTAATTCTAGGCATCAGGCACTTTACAGCGGTCACTTGCGAAGCGAATGTTTCTACTCAGTAATTGATGATTTATTTTTATTTTTATTTTTTTAAATTTTTTGACAGGCAGAGTGGACAGTGGGAGAGAGAGACAAAGGTCTTCCTTTGCCGTTGGTTCACCCTCCAATGGCCACCGCCGCCGGCGTGCTGCAGCCAGCATACCGCGCTGATCTGATGGCAGGAGCCAGGTGCTTCTCCTGGTCTCCCATGGGGTGCAGGGCCCAAGCACTTGGGCCATCCTCCACTGCCTTCCCGGGCCACAGCAGAGAGCTGGCCTGGAAGAGGGGCAACCGGGACAGAATCCGGCGCCCCGACTGGGACTAGAACCCGGTGTGCCGGCGCCGCAAGGCGGAGGATTAGCCTAGTGAGCCGCGGCGCCGGCCCAGTAATTGATGATTTAAGAAACTTGCTGAGTACCTACTGTGTGTCAGGTACTGTTCATTGCCCTTCATTCTCCCGAGAGGGAGAGAACTAGATCCGAGGGAGGTTAAGGCACATGTTCCAGACAGAGCCAGTAAGTGTGAGAAGTTAGGATTTGAGCTTCGGCCTTAGAAGGCTGCCAGATGCAGTCCTGGGAGTGCCACCGCGTGCGAGCCTCTGCCGGGGCGCACTGGGTTTACCCTCCCAGCAGCACTGCATCACATGCACAAGTATTTATCTTTACTTAAATAAAAACCAGCGTCTGCATGATGTACTTAACCTGCCGCCAGTAGGTGGCAGAGCTGGGATTGGAACCCAATTGAAGGGTGACATTATTATGCTCTTCAGAGTTAATTTAAAAAATGAGTTAAGACATGGGCACACCTCTGTTTCCAGTCGAAAGGAGGAAATGGGTCAGTGTGTGCGTGTGGTGCGAGCTGATGGGCAGCGGGTAGCTCGGTGGGAGCATGAACTGGTGACGGTCGATTCAGATCCTAGCTCTGCAATACACTTGCTCTGGAAGCCTGCATACGTTGAGTAAACCTTTGAATTTTTTTTCCTATAAAATAGGGATAATAGTGAAAGAAGGACTAAAGAAGCTATTATGGGAGTACTTAAAAATTTATGGAAAATGAGATTAGAAGATAATTTTTGGTACAAAAATATTTTGAAGCCAGGGCCTAGGAAGGGTCTTCAGAAAGAAAGTTCATGGAAAATGTGTATAGTGAAAAACTCTGCATGGTTTGCACCAAAATAAACTTGTCTTTTAGTTCCTTTTACCCAGAAATCTTGGCAGTGTCCTTGTATGTGTGACGTAATAAGCACTACAGTATTGTGGACTTTGCCTTAAGAGTATTGACTCTACAGCGAGGACAGAAGTCTTTCCGAGCCCAAGGAACGACACATACACAGAGGCGTGAAAAGCCCCTGAGGCTGTGCAGCAAGGCTGAGCTCTGCTAAAGAGTGTCCAGGCTGTGTGTTAATGCTGGTGCAGTCATGTCAAAACCCTGAGTTTTGTGACTGACTGTTTCTGATTTCAGTTGTAGCCATAATGGAGATAATGATTATCTTGTGCCACTAGAGGGCAGCGTTTTCAAATTTTAGTAATTAGTGAACCTTCTGTCTTTTGGTATTTTGAATTTTAATTAAATATTTTCTTTTAGTAAAGATTAATAAATTTATGTTATATCTCATTTATAGTGCTTACTCTCCTGTTTTCCTAAATAGAAAGGGCTTAAGATATTACACAAATTGCAATCCTAGCAAATGAACATTCTCTTACGTAATACTGATTATTGTGTGCTCGTTTTGGGATCAAAGTATATTTTGTGTACGCCTTTGAGAAGAGACATTGTTGGCCAGTAATGACAATTCATTTTTACTGTGTATGGTGGATGGTGTGTGACTACTTCATTCATTTAGCTCTTTCTGCCTGAAGAATACTTAATAATTTCTCATATTTTACCTAACACCAGCCCATTTTGATGTATGACAAGAATTTCTGTGTCAGGGATGGCAGAATTGGATTTAGAAGAGAAGCTGAAAAGATTTTCTGTCAAGGAGGTAACAAAACACAGGCAGAAAATCAATACAGTTGGAACGAAAGAGGTTTTTTTTTCCTTTTAAGATTTATTTATTTGAAAGTCAGTTACGCAGAGGGAGAGAGAGAGAGGTCTTTCATCCGCTGGTTCATTCCGCAATTGGCTGCGATGGCCAGAGCTGTGCCGATCCGAAGCCAGGAGCTTCTTCTGGGTCTCCCATGTTGGTGCAGGGGCCCAAGCATTTGGGTCATCTTCTTCCGCTTTCCCAGGCCACAGCAGAGAGCCAAATCAGAAGTGGAGCAGCCAGGACTCGAACCGGCGCCCACATGGGATGCTGGCACTGTAGGTGGCAGCTGTACCTGCTAAGTAAGCCACAGCAGTGGTCCCACAAAAGTTTATTTAAAAAATTTATTTATTTGAAAAACAGAGAACACTTCTCTGGTTTACTCCCCAAATGGCTGCTTAGGCTGGGTTTGGGCAGGGCTGGGCCTTTTAGTAATGGAGCCATCACCACTGTCACTTGGGGGGCCATGATAGCAGGAGGCTGGAAACGAGAGCCAGACCCGAGTACTGAACCCAGGCACTGCAGTGTGTGACGCAGGTGTCTCCACTGGCATTTCAACCACCAGGCCAAATGGCTGCCAAAGAATTCTTTTGCCTGATGTGTATTTAGGCTGTGGTCTGCATTAGCTCTAATTTTCAGCTGATACTTTGACTTAGTAGGATTCTTACTTGGTCATCTTGAGTTGAGCCAAGGGCAGTCCCAGGTGCTGAGGTTTTGGCGAGGAATCCTAGGGCTTTGGAGCTGCACAGGTCTGGGCTTGATGCTGAGCAGTGCCACCTGTGGCAGCAGCACATTGCCTGTTGTAGCCTGTGCTTCGGCTCAGAGTGGTGACAACGATGGCCCTCCAGGCTGGCTCGAGGAGGGTGAGACACAGAATGTATAGTTCACATTCATGCCTATGCAAAGAGAATGCGGTATTTCCTGATGAGTGGGTTTTTGCCATGAACTGTGACTAGCTGTGTGAGAAGATGCAATGGTCTTCTGTGTGCTTTAAGTTCCTTTAGTGGCATTTACCAGCTTGGCACTGCCTTCGTCTACCTTTTTGTCGTCTGTATCATTTACTCCTTAGGCCTGGTGTATGCCTGATAACTCCATTTAAATTTTCTAGATCTAGGTTCCTTTGAGGCAAGAAACAAGATGATCAGATTTGTCAGAAAGTGACAAATGACCAGGCTGCGTGGGACTCGAGGGAGTGTGTGCTGTGAATAGTGTGTTGATTACACCAGGTTCATGGAGGGTGCACTTTTCTTTTAAACTTTTGTACTTGGAGTTTTAATGAGTAATTCCAGCAGTGCGTATAAAAAATTTAATTTGAAAGCAACTTACAATGGCAAAGTTATTGAAGTAGTGTTGGCATGATTATGTAGGGAAAAATGCACTGAAATTTCCAATGAGTTGGTAAGTTTGTTTTTTCTTTTTAAAATACATCCTGTTGAGACAAGCTAAACTGTTTTTTGCGTTTTCAGCTATGACTTCACCCCCCTGGACTCCTCTGCAGTGTACGTGTTAAGCAGTATGGCTCGTCAGCGCCGTGCCTCTCTGTCCTGTGGAGGACCTGCTGGCCAAGACTTCGCAGCATCTGGGTTTAGTAAAAACTGTGGCTCACCGGGATCATCACAGCTCTCTTCGAATTCTTTGTATGCTAAATCTGTCAAAAACCACAGCTCAGGGACTGTGAGTGCCACTTCTCCTAATAAGTGCAAAAGACCAATGAATGCCTTCATGCTTTTTGCCAAAAAATACAGAGTTGAATATACTCAGATGTACCCAGGGAAAGATAACAGGTAAGCGATAATGATTTTAATTCTGATAATTGACACTGAAGTGTGGTTCTGAGTACCTTCATTAGTAAGTCTGTTCCCCCAGCAGTTAGTGTTAGCAAGGCTGCTTTCTGGACTGTTCTCATGGTGACTCTCACTGTAGCTTCAGGTGTTAAGGTTCTATCAGGTTAGACCTCTTACTGCTCACCGGTCTTTCTCAGTCTATTTTGGTCACCATCTAACACTGAGGTATGTTCTGTCTCTAGAATTCAGTGGAAAACTCATGTCATTTTGAACTCAGATTTTCCCCTTGTCTCTATTTATTATGACATCTTTATTAAAAAAGTTCACAGCTGTGGGGCAAGTTGTGAGGGAATGAAGTTAAGATTTATTTATTTGAAAGGCAGAGCGCGCAATAGAGACACAGATCTTCTGTCTGCTGATTCATTCCCCAACTGGCTGCAGTGGTTGGGGCTGGGCCAAGTTGGAGCCAGGAGCTTCTTCCAGGTCTCCTACACAGGTGCAGGGCCCCAAGCACTTGGGCCATCTTCTACTGCTTTCCTAGGCCATAGCAGAGAGCTGGGTCAGAAAAGGAACAGCTGGGACTTAAAGTGGCATTCTTATGGGGTTCTGTTAGCCGGCTACGCCACAGTGCTGGCCCCAGGTCTAACATTTTAAAACCAGTGATGGGGCAGGAGCTGTGGCGCAGCGAGTTAAAGCCCTTGCTTGAAGCGCCGGCATCCCATATGGGGGGCAGTTCTAGTCCCGGCTGTTCCTCTTCTGATCCAGCTCTCTGCTGTGGCCTGGGAAAGCAGTAGAAGATGGCCCAAGTGCTTGGACCCCTGCAGGGCCATCTGGGGAGTGAACCAGCAGATGGATGACCTCTCTCTGTAACTCTTTCAAGTAAATATAAAACAAACACTAAAAACGGTGTTATTTTGAGTCTAGCAAATGCAGTTAACTTATTTCAGAATAAGTTTTCTAAGTGTCTTGTAATACCACCTTCAAAAACATTCCACCCTTACTTTGAAAGGGGTGTGTGTGTGGTGCTTAATGATTTGCTTACATGTACCTTTAACTCAAAGGCTACAGAAGTTGGTTTTTAATTCTGGGAGCCACAGTACAATGTTGCGTTAGCTGCGTTTGCTGCATGTTTAATTTTGTTGGCAAGTAGCAGAGCAGCTTCTGTGATGATGATTCTCTTGAAAGCACAGATGCCCATCACTTTGACATGAGGTCTTCAAAAAGTTCATGGAAAATGCATCTGATGAAAGCAAGCCTGTGCATGGATTTGATATTTTGCACAAAATAAACTTGTATTTTAATCATATTGTTCCAGAGACTTTCTGAAGACCCTCATGCACATTGTAGAATGAGACAGAACCTGCTTTGTACAACGTCATGCAGTGAATGGTCAAAAACTCTTCATAGAAGGAAAACGGTTTATGTCTGTGTGCTGTGGTGAGGCTGAATATTTAGGTTAGCAGGGGGACGATAAGTAGAAATAGGAATATGATATATTCTTTCAGTTTGACTTCTTATTTTTTTTTTAAGATTTATTTATTAGAAAGAGTTCTACAGAGAGAGAAACAGAAGCAGAGAGTGGTCTCCCATCCACTAGTTTACTCCCCATTTTGGCCTCAAAGGCTGGAACTGAGCTAATCCAAAGCCAGGAGCTTCCTCCAGGTCTTCTCACGAGGGTGCAGGGGCCCAAGGACTTGGGCCATCTTTCACTGCTTTCCCAGGCCATAGCAGAGAGCTGGATCGGAAGTGGAGCAGCCGGGACTGGAACCAGGGTCCATATAGGATGCCGGTACTGCAGGCAGTGGCTTTACTCACTACGCCACAGCGCCGGCCCCGGTGTCTTGATTTTGAGTGTATCTAGTTTTCTCGGGTGTTTAGTACAAATACTCCCTAAGGTTTACTTAGTTTTTGAGAGGTCAACAGTGAGGTATGCTTAGTTATGCCATTTTGACTAGGGTTGCATGAATGAAGACTTTTCGTAAGTCTTCATTAGGTTGTGGCACAAAACAACTTCTAATATGAGCTGCTTATGCTGATGATACTGAATGCTGTCTGTCTGCCTTTTATATCTTCAACTTGTAAAAACTTAGGTGCTAGGATAGATCCATATTACATTTAGTTGAAGCGTTTTCTGTGGATTTAACTTTGTAGAATATGCATATGAGTTCTAACCACTTGAGATGTCCTTCGGCAGTTGGGAATACTGGCATCATCCCAGAAGGGTGAAATGTCGGGACTGAGAAGTGGACCGTGTGACTTGGGGTTTTACTGGAAATGACGGTTACAGCCTTGACCTTTGCACTGCTCTGTGAGGATCAAGATCTTCTTTTAACTTTACATTTGTTCCTGAAGTAGCAGCACTTGGCATGATTTTATGAAAAACTTTGGCCTTTATAAAGCATTTTGTAAATATTTATTTTACAGAGCCATAAGTGTGATCCTTGGTGACAGGTGGAAGAAAATGAAGAACGAAGAGAGAAGGATGTACACATTAGAAGCAAAGGCTTTGGCAGAAGAACAAAAGCGTTTAAATCCTGACTGTTGGAAAAGGAAAAGAACCAACTCAGTACGTGTCAACAGTCACTTAGAATCACCTTGACGCAGTCCCCTAGGTTTCTGGCGTGTTGGTGCCACTGCTGTAGCCTTGGAAGCGCTGTGTGGACGCTCTTTGTCAGCATGCGTACTCTTCAGAATGTGCTGACGTGTTCATGCCTCCTTGTAAGGGAGACTGCCTTCCGTGCATCATTAAGTAGCACTTACTTTCTTGGGACGGAAGTGGAAACAGCAGGCAAGCTTAAGCTTAAGCGTGCTTGTCCTGCACGTTGAAGTGCGGAAATCATGGTGTCGGTAGTGCAGGTTGAACATCCCTAAATCAGAAATCCCCAACCTAAAACTTCTGGTATCACTCAAGTTTTGGATTCCAGATTTTCGGATTTGGGATGCTCAGGCAGTGAAGTCTATATAAATATTCCCAGATCCAAAAATGTCCTAAATCAGACATTTTTGGTTACAAGCATTTGAGTTAAGGGATGGGTTGCTAGCTGGATGTTAGCCATGAGTATCACAGTAGAGAATGTGTCCAATTCTTGGTAGTATCTTTTTTTTTTTTTTTTTTTTTAAGATTTTATGCATGAACTTGAAATAGAGGAGGAAAGAGAGAGAGGGGTCTTCCATCCACTGGTTCATAAGTGGCCACAATGGCCAGGAGCTTCATCTGGATCTCCCATGTAGGCAGTAGGGGACTAAGTACTTGGAGTATCCTCCAGTTCTCTTCCCAGGCCATTAGCAGGGAACTGGATTGGAAGTTGAGCAGGTGGGACATAAACAAGCACCCATGTGGGATGCCGGCATCACAGGTGGCAGCTTTACCCATTCTGCCCTTCTGCCACAACGGCAGTAGTCGGGGAGGTGTTTTCTTCATCTAGACGTCGTACGCCTCAGCACCAGCCCAGTAGTGTCTTCATAGTCCTTCTTCTTTCATTGGTGAGAGCTGATGAAGATCGATGGTAAGAGTAGGTTAACCTAAGAGTAGGGGACCTCTGCCATTGGCCCAGGATTTCTGGGTTTTTAAAACCTTAAGAGAAAAAACCTGGAAGGACCATAGAGGGTGATAAACAAGTTTGCAGTATAATAGTTATCTTGGATGGACTTGGTTCTTAGAATCACTAAACATCTTTACAAGAATTTTCACATGATAGAAATAGTTGGGCCTCAGTTTGGAAGACCATTTAAAGTGAAGATGTCTGTAGTCTCTGTAGTAGGGTGGCTGGCTGATGACATTTATTCATTCTGTGTAAAAAAATTATGCCTGTTTTTATCAGGTGATAAGTATAGTTGAAAATAAGCAACATGCAGGTCACATCTGTTTAAAAAAACAGCTGAGAGAGCCACTCCCGGGCCACAGCAGAGAGCTGGCCTGGAAGAGGGGCAACCAGGACAGAATCCGGTGCCCCGACCGACCAGGACTAGAACCTGATGTGCCGGCGCCGCAAGGCGGAGGATTAGCCTAGTGAGCCGCGGTGCTGGCCCTGTCTCTTTTACATATTTTCTGGATGCTTGAGCCACAGGTTTTAGCAAATTTGTGAAAATCATCTTTGAGAAAGTGATCTTTTTCTTCATACATTGAATTTGCATACATTCACTGAGTCTAATTTCTTTCCACAGGGCTCACAACAACATTAAGCCAGGATACATATGTCCTCAAGTCTGCATTTGTGTAAACATTGACTCCTGATGGAAAGACTTAAGAGGATCAAGGTCTCACCATGTGTCCTGAATTCGTGGGACGACCATACAACACTGATAGCATTGAGTCTTGAAATGATTTAATTATAAGAGTGAGGATTTGCTTTCTCCATTAGAGCATTAAGTAAGCTAAAACTATCAACATTGTAAACCAAATTGCCTTATTTTCCTTCCAAACTTCATATATGTCTATCAGGTAATATAGGCTTGAAATTGATATCCTGTGGTGCTAAAGTACAGTAGAAAGAGAGCAGAAGTGTATACATGTTTTATTTTAAATTGTATGAAAGGGGAATTCAAAATACGTAACTGCTGTTTCTACATTGGCTCCTTACGGCTTAGTAATCCGTACCGTACACATGACGGAGTGGAGCAGAGGCTGGGAGTCGGCCTTTCCCCGAGCACCACCACGTGGCCCAGCATCTGTGCCAAACACGGGCGCGCGTAGTCTGGCCAGTGCCAAGAGACTGCCAGAACGTGTGGTAGGTGGAGGGTGGCAGTATCCCAGGAAGAGCGCCACCTGCTGCAGTTACCGAGGGCAGTGCTGAGTTTATGCACCAGGTGGCAGCACCCAGCCATTATTTCCAGTGGAGACCTAGCCCAGGCCAAGGTAAACTTAGTTAATAGCATTGAGATATAGTCACTGTAATGGTGCTATTAACAGTTCGACACCATTGTATTTTTTAACTTTGTGCTCTATATCTCAGCCACGTATCTTAAATATATTTTGTCATCATATCTATGGTGGGGGCAGACTTTGCACTTCTCACAGTGCAACACTTGCACTTTACTTCTCCTCCAGCTGTCTAAAGTGAGAGCAAATACATTGGCAATATGACTGCTTTTGCTCTGAGCTACAATCATGGCTTCTCATGTTACTTACCAAGTGGTGTTTCTGGTTAGGAATCACAGCTGTAAAATTGATTTCAGTTCATTACACTTCTTCATGATGTTGCCCCTAAATTTTGCACACTATATTCTTGTATATTATTTCAAATAAAATAAAAAAAAAAAGTCATTTCTGGCTGCTTCTTGAAGCTGCTTGGGTTTTTGTCTGTTTTAAAGTCAGAGTAAGAGAATGGCTGCAATGGTGGGGCTGGGCCAGGCTGCAGCATCTTCTGTGTCCTCAACTGGGTGGAGGGGTCCAGCACTTGGGCCGTCTTCCACTGCTTTCACAGGTGCATTCGCAGGAAGCTGGATCCAAAGTGGAGCATCTGGGGCTCAAACTGGTGCCCAGCTTGGATGCTGGCCTGCAAGTAGTGGCTCAACCCCCTGCACCATAGCACTGGCTCCAGGATTTTTTAAATTAAAATGCTAATGATGAAACAGGAGTTACAGAAAAATAGGGACTTTATCAACTATAAAAAATCTTGGGGCTGGTGCTGTGGTATAGTGGGTAAAGCTGCCGCCTGCAGTGCTGGCATCCCATATGAGCACTGGTCCAAGTCCTGGCTGCTTCACTTCCAATCCAACTCTCTGCTGTGGACTGGTAGGGCAGTAGAAGATGGATGGCCCATAGTCCTTTGGCCCCTGCATCTGCATGGGAGACCTAGAAGATCCCAGCTCCTGGCTTCAGATAGGCCTAGCTCTGGCTGTTGCAGTCATCTGGGGAGTGAACTAGCAGATGGAAGACTTCTCTCTCCCTCTGCCTAACTTTGCCTTTCAAATAAATAAACATTAATAAAAAACCTTTACAGAATACTTTTATTCTTAACTTGGCATCTTTTTCACAAGGTTATAATGGCCCCCAAAGTATGCTTCTAATAGATGAAAAAAAACTATAAAGAAAGCCTTACTTTATTTACAGATACAGAATGATGTTTTTTAAATAAGCACATACAGCCCTTTTTCTTAGCTCTGGCATAAGCCAGTGATTACCAAACTTTATTGTGTACTGGAGTCACTTTGAAGATTGACGTCTTGATGCCTGGTTCACACTCCCAGGTGTGTTAATGAACACGGATGTCTCTGGGCATCAGGATTTCTCAGGTTCCCAGGTGGTCTGAATGTGCGGCCACAGTTGGGGGCCACTGGGCGCTATACTCACTTGGTAAAGAAGGTGGTGGGGTGGGAAAGGCAGGATACTGGTAACTTGATCCACCTCTTTAAAAAGCAGTGGGGAATGCTTTTTACACACACATGCACACGCACATGGGTGTGTGCACCCATGGTGGCAGGACAGAAATCTGGGCCCCCACAGGAGCTGGAAGAGGAGAAAAGGGTTGGGTGTCTTCTGGGGAGAGGAGCTTGTGGCGTTCACAGGTGCGACAGCGCCTCTGTCCTCACACGGTGCTCCTGATGAGTGCTCAAAGCGGAGAAGGAGCAGCAGGAGACACAGCCAAGGCCATTCCATCCTAAGACGGCAGGTAGGGGCTGCCAGCTACAGGGACTCATGTGCCACTACTGATGGGCAGACATGGCTTTCTGAAGCAGCTGGAGCATGATGGGATAAACTGGTGCAAATTCTTTGCCTTCTCTACTTCTCACAGACTGAACATAAGCTTCCAGGGCTCCCCTGAAAACCAAAAAGACAATGTCAAGACATTGCAGTAACAAAACAAAACAGACTCGGCGGCACCAATACTCAGACTGGAAGTAAACCGTTTCTGGAATCACTATGCCCAGTTCCAGGAGCCTTTAGTCACTAGTAGTGTTACCATGGTTACTGCAAAACTTTAACCACTGCTAGCCTGCACTGTGGCCTTTTCATCACCAGCAGGCGCGCTCGCCCTCGTTCCCTAGGAAAGACAACTCTGCGAAGCTGCAGGCAGCTGGGGCCCTGCGGCCGGCGCAGTCCCAGTCACTGGATGGACTAGGACCAGCTGTGACTGGCACGAACACTCCTGAGCTCTCCTGGTAGGCCAGCTGCGTCACGAGCAGCAGCGTGAATGCGGTCAGGCTGTGTCACCCAGCATTTCCTGGACTGCTGCTGGGTTTCAGTTCATGTGGCCTAAAATGATCGACCACTGGCTTCCATTTTGTTGTCATCAGCAAGTGACGTGCAAATGAACGTGAGCCCACAGAGGGTGAGGAGGGGTGCTTGCTCCTGGACTCAGGTACGGATGCCTCTAACGAGGCGGGGGCTGCCACACACAGTCTCTCTGTTCACAAAGCAGCACCTGAGGCCTTTGCACATTCTCTTCCTTCTGGAATGCCCTTCCCTGCTCTTCCTCGCAGGTTCATTTCTCGGGACTGGGCGTCAAAAGCCGTTCCCAACTCCAGGCTGCACGGAAGAATGGGGAGCACCTGGAGCTCCAGGAAGGTGGGGAGAGGTCTGGCTTCAGTAGCGTCAGCCCTGACATGGTGGGATCCAGCATTTGCGATCCCCGGAGGCTGACTCCTCGCCCCGTTCGGGGTAGGCCCTCATTGAAGACACTTCTTCACCACAACCAAAGTTACTCCCGTTATCGGCACGCACAAGTCTGCACGGGCACACCACGTGGAGTGCAGCACTCTTAGCGGTGATCTGTGGACTGCCCTTGTCCCTTAGTGGAGCTGTTTCTCCCAACAGCCAAAGACTGGCTGCTTCCAATCACATTTGTCAGGGTGTGCGCCGCCCCGGGCAGCCGGCCCCGCGCCCTGGCCGAAGCCCTTGTACGCTCCTGTGCAGTGGCAGTCTCCACAGGCTCTCAACGCCCTTAACGGCGCATCTGGAGTCTCTGTGGTGGGACTCAGAGGAACCGGCAGTGCACGGCCAGGGAGTTGGATCCCTGCTTAACAAGTGCACGCAGATCAGCCTAGCAGTTTCATCTGCATTCAAAGGATAAGACATTATATAAATGACATGGTGTGCAGAAGGAAGCGCAGAGCTAAGTCTGCTTAGATTGGTGTTTTTTTTTTTTTTTTTTTTGTATTCATCAAAACCTCCATCAGAACTATGGGGAGAAAAACAGATTAAGCTGCCCGCCCACATGAAATGAGACCAAGGTTTTCAAGCACTTATTACATTTCTTCATTTGCTTCAGCACAACATTAGCTTTCTTGGAAGTCAGGCCAAGCATTATGTAAGTCTCAACTCTGGTTTGTCACCAAATTAAGCAGATTACTGAAGTTATCCTTACTGGGAAAAAAAACAAAACCTAACACAAATAACGAGCAGAGGAACGGCTCACGATGTGGCGACACTGCCCGTGTGGCACGAGCTAACCAAGTGGAGATGGTCTGGAAAGCAGGCATTACACGGTGTGAGGGGTGCTGACGTAGGGAGCTGACTGCAGAAGACACGCCTCACCAGGCAGTCGGACCCCCAGCTGGTGTTCCTGGGGCAGGCGTGCACGGTCCAGCACTGCCCTGCAGGGACACAGCCTGTGGGTCCAGGGCTTGGGCGGGGGCGAGGGGCGAGGGGCTCAGGATGCGTGTGCCTGTTGCAGGGTGAGCGTTCTACCTGGTCAGTGCGCTCCGGGGGCTTTTCAGATATGAAGTGCTCCTCCAACGGGTCACACGGGGCGCTCTGCTGCAAGCCGGTGAGTCGGCGGGCCGCAGGCCAGTGCTGGCGCTTCTACACCAGAGCCTGGTCCCTCACTCACTGGAAACACACCCAACGCTCACTCGCCCACAGGGATGAGGGGATGAGGCAGGTGCCGCCCCTGCCCCCGCAGCTCTCCTTGGTGGGCACTGGGGAGGCACAGTTTCTCCACTTGGGCCGCTTGGCCCCCGGAAGGCAGGCGATCACTCTGACTCCAGAAGTGAGTTCCTCACTCACTCGAGCCCCGGAGAGCGCTCTGGTGTCAGAGGAAATGGGCAGAGTCTGTTGGGTGCCGTTTTGGCGGCGGCAGCGGTTACACTGGCCTCAGTGTGCCCTTCTTTATGACAACCAAACGCCGCTGTGCTGGGAGGCAGCGAGTGAGCACCCCAGCAGCTCCGCCCCAGCAGCTACAACAAACCTGCTGACATTTAAAGAGCAGTGCTCACCCTGGGTTTACCTACAGGGAAAGAAAAAGTCAGCCGTGATGCCCTGGGCTGCGGGGGCAACGCGAGCTGTGCACTAATTCGCGAGAAAGAAGGTGCCCTGGGATGGGGGCTGCTCCTCGCCGAGAGCTGGCCCGCAGCAGCAGGGCAGCTGTGCCCAGTCCCCCAGGGAGGGCTCGGTTTCCGCCCAGGGCACGCGGGCTCCGGGAGCAGCCATGTGCGCAGGGACGCTTCGGCCGCATTTAAAAAGCACGACAGCATTTTCGAGCATGATTTTCAGTTACTAAATATAGGCTCAGCAACAGTACTGCTGATGAAATCACTCGGGAGACATTTTTAAAGAGAAGCAGAAGAAAACAGGCTTGTGATGTCCCCACAGCCGGCAACTGTTGTGCGTGAACTCATTCCAACTTGTTCAGAAGACAAAGACGAACCCTCTTCAGTCAACTGAGGCTTCTATTCCAAGCATGGTGAGCCGAGGGACCTCTGGGGAAAAGCACCCACAAGAGACACTGACCGTGCCAGGGTCAGGCCCTTTTAACCACGCCCATTCGCTATCTGCACAGGCTCCGCGCACGGAACTCTGGGTCAGTGTCACTTGTGGAACTGATGCACCACGCTCTCAGCGAGCATCCTCTGTGGAGTCTTGCCCTGACAATGGGAACGTGGACCTGCCCGAGGAGCTGGGAGAGACCCGGGCCACGCCACAGCCCCACACATCCCCTGGTGGTCTGGGCACTAGGATTTCTCAAAGCCCCATTAATGCGTCCCCTTCTAAACGTGGGTCACAACCACCCTACCATGCTGGCCTCACTCTGCACTGAGGTTCAAACTCAAGCTTGCTGGGTGGGTGCTGTGGTCCCAGCTCCCTGGGGACTTGCGCGTGGCTTCAAGAGTGACCAGCTGGACCTGCAGAATGAAGTGACAGGAGCTGAATGACAGTTTCAGGGTTTTCTAGTGTGGTAGCTGGTTAGGTGGCAGAGACCTTCCGACAGACAGGAAGAACAAGTGAGAAAGGAGGTTTGAGGGCAAAGGTGACGTGGAACGTCTGAGACTGAGACTTGTGTGGGTACCTCAGTGGCAGTGCAACAGGCACCTGCTCAGGGCCCC